TTTTTTAAAAAAAAAAAAAAGACAGAGAGAGGAATATAATTCACGTAGACAGACAAACAGACGCATCGATGGAGACATCAAATTGCGGTGTCAAGTAGCGTGAAAAAGTGGGCAATATTTCATAGACAACGAACACCAGGTGGACTCTATCTATACAGAAAGCACATTCCACATGTCGAATCAACTTCGTATTTACTTCTCACTCTTCACATGGACCATAGTAGAAGGTAGTATAGGCGAGATTTAGCCTAGTTCTGAAACATCTAACTGTCTTCTAATTGCCTTCGGCTTGGTTCGCCTTCACCAGAGAATCCAATCATAGTTTAGCCATTGACCAGCGGTGCACCGACTGTCCGCCCGATGCAGGCGGTTCTCAGCAGTTCCGTGGATTGGGCAAGAAGTGTTGGCAGTGTATCCATTGGGTACCTTAGGTACCGATCCATGAGGTCATGTTTGCTCGGGAGGCCCGACGTGGCCTGGTAGACGGTGTCAACTTAAGCCGGCAGTTTACGAGTAGCCTGCAGCAGAGTCTATGCCTCAAGCGGCATACGGTTGTTAGTTGGATCTGTCCGGAGTATGGCTGTGGTATCTGCCAGTACCAATCAAGAGAAATGCGGTTTGGTGGTGAATTGATCTGCACCTGGCGATGGCGGTGTGGCTGAGAAGCTCCTTTCCCAGCCACGTGCCATGGTTCTCATTGGCAGGCAACGGTGAGGCCGCGACCCGGTGTGGCGGATGCCAGAACGCAGATGCGAAAAGGCACCGTACAATGTTCTTCAGCTTCTCCCCCATCCCCCCGATTACCTTATGATTAATGTCATTTCCCCTTCTTCCTTACCCAGGTTGTATTTGGTTGCCTGACATCAACCTCGCAAATGAGTCATTAGTCGAAGCCTAAAGATTTGATACCTACCTACTACGCTTAGATCTTTGCGCAGTTACCGCTTTCTGTGATTCAGCGCCTACAAATACACCGCGTCTTCCGTCGGTTACATCGGACCACGTGTACATGATACCCTTCAGGTCGAACTTATTTATTATTTTATTCTGGGACGCGCTCACGGAAAGCTCACGGAAAAGAATATGATTAATGGTCTTGACCGTGTACTCAGCATTACTACTACTATTACCCACCTCGGCATAGCCCTTGAATCGAGTGGCGTTGCTGCCAAGACTGATTAGTCATTAGTGGAACTGGATGCCTTGTTGTTACCTGAAAAATTCGGCACCCCCCCGTTTTCCTGAGGAACCTACACCCTTCAGTGTGCCACTGTGAAGAACTGCAAGATCGACAACTTTACTTTTTTTTTTTTTTTTTATTTGATAATATCGCACTCATTTTTGACTTGTGATCCTCACGAATCTCGAACCTTTGGAAAGCAGCTACCATCTACGAGCGTTCCGTTCTTAGCTCGTCCTTCATCTATCCAAACAACCCGCCTCATCCCAATTGACGGCGGGGTCCACTACGATATGGGAGACGGTTCTGATTATCCTAGCCCACGAAGCGAAGGTCCCGGCGGGCCTGCAACTGTCCTTGTCACTGCCCAAGAACCTATCCCTCCAGCACCAAAAATGACTGATCAACTGTCTCCAAATTTTATGGAAGGAGCTCGTCCGCGACTGTCGGTGAGACGGGCGCGAGATCCACCCAAGAACGCTGCAGGCCAGATCTATTGCGACCATCCTGAGTGTCAGCACGCGCCTCCGACGTTCCGCCGCCCATGCGAATGGAAGTAAGTTCTTCTCTCATACACTCCCTTGATTGCTGATCAAGCTAACCATGGTATCACCAACAGCAAGCACATGGACAAACACGACCGCCCTTACAAGTGCTTAGAACCTGGATGTGACAAGATCCAGGGTTTTACGTACTCCGGTGGCCTTTTGAGACACCAGCGCGAAGTACACAAGAAGAATATAAATGCGAAGAAACCTCTGATGTGCCCGTATGCCGACTGTAATCGCAGCACAGGCAACGGATTTACGCGTCAAGAGAACCTAAAGGAACATCTTCGACGCCGTCATATGCATACCGACAATGGCCACGCGTCGGAACTACCTATTGTGCCAGTGCCGGAACTGGATGGTACCACGGCCCTGCCAGTCACTTCGCCTGTCAAGCGGAAGCGCGACTCGATCGATTCGGTCGAAATTCCCGACGAAGAAGAAAACGGCGTGGACCTACGAAATGAAATCAAGAGACTACGACGCGAAGCCCAAATGAAGGATCGGCGGCTGGAGGAGTTGGAAAGAATCGTTGCGGACTTGCAGCAGAGAATTCCGCAGACTGCAGTCTCGCAGGGATAGGTGTCGGATTGTGGTCTCATGAGAAATATCAGTTTGCAATGCATGTTATCTCCTCCACGAGTTGACATGGCTTTCTTTCTCTTTTCATTTGGCTTTGGTTTTTACCCCTTTGTTACTTTTGCTTTGCATTCCACGGGCGTTTTCACATGCAGAGTGCGGGCCTTCAGGTTTGCGTTCAATGTTTACAACATCAGTGGGTGGTTTATATGGATCGATCTACATCTCAGAACGCGTGGTTTACAACAGGCAGCTCTGAAGAATCTGGCGTTTGCTCGAGGTTGATAATACGGACCCGGCGGTGTTATTATGGTTGTCTCCCTTTCTATTCCCTGAAATATACCCAGGCGTTTTCCAACCCATCTCCTTTGTTAGTCTCAACAACTCCAACCTTGTCTTTGTATTCCTTTTCTCCCTTCTCCATACGACATTGTGACATTCCGAATCGTGTCAACCAGTGCCTGTACAAGGTGAAGGATGTATTGCCATTTAGTGTATACGCATGGTATTTACAAGTACAGCTGAACAAGCTTCGCTAGTCACACTATCTGGCAGGGCTTATGTTGGCCTTCTCAAGAAGTTCCGATGGGCACACGCTGATCTAGTATGTCTTGTGATTGTAATTGTCACCTCTTTTGCTTACAAACTCTTGATTGATTCCTTGTCACAAACTTTTCTTTTACACTTATTCTCTAGCGTGTAGGTCAGATAAATTTGTCTTTCACATGGAAAGTACTAAGAGTAGCCTTGACCATGCGATTATCGGATCAAGAACAGGCTAGTGTAGAATAGTCCTGCGATATGTGGAAGACGATTCGCCACAACAATGCTCAAGAGGCTTTAGTTGGTGGGCACAATCACGTATGACTCCAAATGACTCGTAAGTGACCAGGCTTTACGGTCTGACTCAACCCCTGAGGTATCGATGCGCTGCGCTCGCTCCTTTGAGGACTATTCGCAGTTGTTACTAGATCTGAAGATGGATCATCTTATGGGAAGTCGTATGATAGTGTCATGTGCAGTAAATGCGTGGGGGCTTCCAGCCGTAGTATGGTACTTGTTATAGATGGAAAGAAAAACTGCCTTGCTTCGTTCTTTGATTACTGATGTTCCCAACGTTAGCCATGTTCGCAATGAAGTTTTATGTATATACACAAATGCCGGTTGTGTGGTACATGGCTGAGTCAGCCCAGATTTATGTTGTTGCGGCCTGGCGAGCGACTTCGCTGCCTGCCAAACAAAGCATGGGATTTAGTTCACAGTCCGAATGGCGTATGCGATTACCAGACAAGGATCCATTAGTACAATGTTGGCTCTTTCATATCTGATACACTAACACAATGGCCTTTCAACCTCATATGGACATCACGTTTAATGCAAACAATTGATGCGCTCTTTAAACCCCTCATAATTTAGACTTGGATCGTCCGCTCAAAACTTTGAGCGTCGCTCATGAAGATTCCGCTCTGTACTATCGCTTACTGGCACTACGCGGATTAGCCTGTTCCTGACCGGTTCCTGACTGAGTACAACTTATTTTTGAAGCATTTTATCACCCGTCCAGACTGAAGCCCAAGAAAACATGGCCCATTCAACTCCTTTCACGGAGGTCGCAATGTCCCACCAAACAGACTCTCCTTATGTTCGGACTCAGCAATATACACGAGGCGCTGGTAGACTCTTCCAACAACCGGCCGTCCCAATGCAGGCCGAATGGGGTCTCCCTCATGTTGACCCCGTTACCTCTGCTACTCATGTTTTCTCAGAAGGAGAATTTGTCCCATACGAGTTCTTCAAAAAAATCGGCCCAGAGTGGTTCGTTCCTGAAGCAGAAGGAAAGGAATGGAAGTACTGCATGCGCAGAGAGGCCCAAAAGATTTTACCATTTCTCTACCTGGGTCCATATGCCTCCTTGAAAAACACAGCCTGGCTCAAAGCCCAAGGGTTCACTTTGCTTTTGGCTATTCGAGACGAAAGGTTTCCAAACGTCTGTGGGGAGAACGCAGCTACTGAGCTGGGAATTGAAGCCGAGACCTTTGCAGTCGCACAGACTCAGGATTTTGTGTCCATAGGGCCTCGTCTGATTCGAACAATCAATGACCACATCTCATCCTCGCATACCCCAGTATCCAACGAATGGCCCTACAAGAAGGTTTTGGTATTTTGCGAGACTGGGAACGGTTATTCGGGCTTAGCACTAGTTGCGTACTTGATGGTAATGCTCAACTTAAAGCTACACCAAGCTTTAGCTGTGGTTCATGCGCACCGACTATCCGTGGAAGCAGATGAACTATCGAGACAAATGTTAGTTTCATTCGAATCGATCATTATGGCCAAAAGGAACGTTGAAGAGGTCAGACGAGCAACTACAGAGGGTGCAGGCTTGATGGTTCCTCCCCAGACTGTATGTAAAAAGAGGAGTTTTACACATCGCAATGAGGATGAGGCTATGGAAGACATCATGGATATGGGTGCAGATGAAGATACAGCCTCTGATAGAAAGCCTGTGGCTCCATTCCAGGACCGTTGAGGATGGTTTGACTAGAACAAAATATTAATTTTTCTTATGATGACTTAGTTTGGAATGGTATTGGTCATCATAGAATTCGTTAGGATGACGTTGATTAAACACCATTTCCCTCTTGATAATTTGCTCTTGCACCTTCTCTTTTTATTTCTTTGTACATTACAAGGTCAATGATTCTAAGCATCTTTCATGCCCCAGGGTACTGATTTCCAATCACCAATCACCTGAAGTGACTTGCAAACCACTGAACAATCAGCATTATCTATTCTATTAAACTCTACAAAGCACATTTGATAGACACAATTTGTTGTCTTCAGCCTAAGTCTAGTCCTTCCATTATTCGGAAATTCTTTCCCCTTCTTGTCCTATTTTCTCCAGGGTTCCAGGCCGACCAGAATTGATTGACTCAACTGTAGCAATGATCTTTGTTGTTATTCACTATCCCTGAGGGGAAGGGCCGTTGACCCATTCACTGTATTGCTTATAACATTTCATGTACATTTCTCAGTCTGCTCGCGTCCAAAATCCAACCTGCAGCTAATTACTTACAAAAGTGGAAAACAGCCACCATGCGACTCCGTGAGAGTATCCGCCCTCCTGAGCGCTATGAATCAGAGCACTTTTACACGTCGCTAGGTCAAAAGTCACTTCGCCAGCACAGAAATCCAAACCGCCCTCCCTACATCGATTTCAACCCCAACCTGCCTCCTGCTGTCTTCCCCACTCTGGACTTCCCTCGCCCAGCGGTACCAGAGGCTGGCAAATGTGCACAGAGCAAGGGAGAAGAGACCAATAGTGGAGGCACTTTACAGCACGGTCGCGAGCAACCTGAGCATTATGGGGAGGACAAGGATAGCAGAGAGGCAGGCGTCGATCTCGTGGACATCCCTATCAATCAGGTCGAGAACTACGTTGCGAGCAACGGTGACTTGAACCCAGTTTACGTCAAAAACATGGCTACGATGGCTGCTGCGGACTCGTCTGCGAGTGATGACTTGCACAATGAGACTGATGACATCGAGGCTCATGATGAGGATGAGGTGAGCTAACCATACACTCGATGTATCGCAGCTTTTAGTGGCCGGCGATGTACTAACAATGTTCTAGTCCGCGCATGAGATCCCTAACCCAAAGTGGAGCGATTTATGTCCTGGAATGCAGGTGGAAATTTTCGACAATCTTCTTCAATGCTATACTTGGAAAGACGCGTGTTATAGGTTAAATCTGACAGGAGAAGATCAAGAGAAGGTCGGAAAGCATATTTTTGCTCGCAATAAGCAGATGGAACAGGAAGAATCTCAGATGAAAAATATGCGAACGAAACAACTGAGATCGCTCTTGAAGATTGACAACAGTGCAAGACATCTCCAGGATTCGCACCAGTTTCTTTTCCGCAAAACCTCTCGAGACACCACTAGTCATCTGCGAAGGAGTAATAGGCCAGACTATCTTATGTGCCATTCTAAAGAGGTTATGAACGCTAAACGGTATTTGCGCCAACAGGGCCTAAGCCCTAGATATGCTGGGGATTGGGGTAACAGCATCAGCCCTACTCATCCCTCTGGAATCGACCAAGATCATGATATGAGCAATCTAGGGAAGCAGGTGAGCTGCGGGCAATACATGGAACTAGCCACAGATACGACTGATGATGACATGATGGATTTTGCGTTCGATCATAAAGCTCCGACTGCGATCCCGGATAAGCAGTCATTCATTAACACAATCGGGACGGCAGCTGTTGCTAGCCCGAGGGATATGACGCTATGCAGAGGTAACTTAAACACAGCCCCAAGATGGCTGAATCTTCTTTACCAGCATTCTATACGGAACTACCAGCCAGCTTTTCGGGAGAATAAGCTTGTTTGCCTCAAAATCGGTACCGAGCACGCCGCCCAGATTCATGATACCCAGCCGATAGCTTGCATTCAGCCAGCGAAATTGGTAAAACGTTTCCCTCCCATTGATGCTATTTACTATGACCCCCCTTCATGGACCCCTGTAATTATTCAGAATTATGGAGCGAGAACTAATCCAACAATGCCTCCAATACCTAGACCATCCTTGGACGGCGAGCCACAGCCTCTACCGAGAACAATGGGTGGAAATTGGTCATATAGCTCTTTCGAATCGCATCCAACAACATCTTCTATGAGGTTCCAGCAAAAATTGGAAGAGGCACGTCTTGAGACACAAAGGGCGAGAAGACGCGGAACGCAGCAACTTGCAGGTGGTAGAGGCTATGGACCATATTTTACCCCAAGGCAAAGCCCTGAAGGCATAAGTCGGTCATCCTCAACCACCACTGGGGGATTTATGTCTCCTAATAGCTCAGGCGAGCTTTACGGTGCATCGATGCAGAGTCAAAGTGAAAACTCTTCAAGAACGGTTACTTCTCTTGGGACCTCTCTTCATGACTCTACGGAACGGAGGGCTTCTTCTGGAACTATGAATTTGCCAAGGATCCCTTCCACTTCGTACCACGGCGGAGATCTTCAAACTCAGCCCAGTGTCATGCATACGATGCAAAGCGATGAAGAGCAAGAAGGACTGAGATGTGAAGATGAATACTGTACTACTGATGACGAAGTGGTTCTTCTACCTACAGGAAATCCCCACTAAACGAAATGGCGATTACGGCCACATCCACCTGCTAGCCTTACAGACAACGCTGATATTCACACGGCAGATTTCACCAATGCTCAGGATGGTCAAATAAAGGAAACCTGTTTTTACTTCCCCTTTTATTTCTTGAAGATCTTCAACGAATTTCACCCGGAATGTGTTGCATACTCGGAATTGGGAAGCCAGTCAACAAACATGAGACCATTACTTACCTTGAGAATGACATTACAATGGACTTTATAGATGTTCTTGGGCTGACTTCCCATATTTTTCTGTCCATTTTGCTAAATACAACCGCAGTCAAAAAAAGAGGGGAAAAAAGAGGTTAAACTGCTAATACTTTCAATCGCCACAAACAGCTTGAAAGAACCTAGAACACTCCATTGTACTAATGTTGTAAGCATCTTCTGCATGTTCTAGAAGCCCACTAAAATCAATCAAAAGGTGGCCCGTGCGCTGACGCGAAATCTGCGCGTCCGAACGGCAGCGATTAGATTGCAGGCGCGGCAAGATGACAAAATGCGCCAGTTAGCAACACCGTGCACAACCTCTCAAGCGCACGATCTTGGTCGGGTATCTTTGGGTTTCTTTCATTTATAGATAGTTATACAAATCCAGTCAATACTCTTTTTGCCCCTTTTCTGATTTGGTGCCCCTGCTTTTATTGGATTTGCGCTTGCACCAGAGGGGCAAAATCGACCACGGTAACCGCGTCCATACGCCAAACGTACATGATATGAAAAGTGTTTGGAATTTGACTATTGGAAGATTCTGGGATCCGAAACAAGGAAACACAGATATGTCAAACTCCGATACGCCGGTTGAGACTGAGGGCATGCGGCAAGACTCAACACAGCTTTCTTCGCCGGTGACGAACGACGCCGGGGAGTCAACTCCCGAGAAGATGGATGTGGAGGAGGAGAATACAGAGGAGATGGATGCGCAGGCTAAGGCGCTGATGCATTTATTGAGTACCAGTGAAGTGCGTGTTTCATCCTCGTACGTTGGTAATGGAAAGAGCCTGTTGCTGATGGTGTCTTTTGCGGCTTGAATAGGTTTTCGTCGCGATCATGGCGGATAAGATGAAGAAACAGCAGGAGGAGGCGAAACTCGAAGCGGCGAGACAGCACGAGCAGAAGAGTGCGGAGGCGATGACGAAGAAGAAGCCCACCACTGAGCCTGCTGGGAGACGCGCGACGCGCACGAGTGCGAGGCAGAGCGCGGCGAAGGAACCTGTTGCTGAGGCGGACGTGAAGACGGAGGAGCAGGGTGCTGCTGCGAAGTCGAAACGAGGTCGGGGCAGGAAAGCTGTTGCTCCTGCGGCTGCGAAGTCAAATACCATCTCCAGTTACTTTAAGAAGGCCGATGTGCAGGTTCCCGAGGAAAATCCCACCGTTCAGGAGGCTCTGGAACATGCTGCGGATGAGTATGAGGCCAATCCATCTGTCTTGGGCGGACAGGATCTGGTCGCTACCCAGCAGCCGGAACTGATCACCGGGGGTCAGATGAAGAAGTATCAGCTGGAGGGATTGGAGTGGTTGAAGTCGCTTTGGATGAATGGTCTGTGTGGCATTTTGGCCGACGAGATGGGTCTGGGAAAGACTGTGCAGGCTATCTCCCTGCTTGCCTTCTTCAAGGAGAAGAAGATTTCCGGGCCGTTTTTGATTGCGGCTCCGCTTAGTACTGTGAGTAATTGGGTGGATGAGTTCGCTCGGTGGACGCCTAGCATCAAGACGGTGTTGTACCATGGAAGCAAGGATGAGCGGGCGGAGATTCGACGAAAGATGATGAATATGAAGAATCAGCGGGACATGGATTTCCCGGTGGTTTGTACTTCCTATGAGATATGTATGAATGATCGGAAGTTCCTTGGGCAATATCAGTGGCGATACATCATTGTGGTATGTGTTGCGATGCTTCGCCCCGGTCTGCCAGTGCCGCTGCTAATGAATGTACAGGACGAAGGACACCGCTTGAAGAATATGAACTGTCGACTAATCAAAGAACTCCTCACCTATAACTCTGCAAACAGACTCCTTATCACGGGCACGCCGTTGCAAAATAACATAACCGAGCTCTGGTCGCTGTTGCATTTCCTGCTGCCCGAGATCTTCAACGACCTTGATAGCTTCCAAAGCTGGTTCGATTTCTCGTCAATGTTGGACAGTAGCGACAAGACGAATGTTATCGAGCGCCGAAAGCGTACTCTAGTGTCCACGATGCATTCCATCCTGAAGCCGTTCCTGTTAAGACGTGTCAAGACTGACGTCGAGATGTCGCTTCCTAAGAAGAGAGAATACATCCTCTACGCACCTCTGACAGCCGAGCAAAAGGATCTCTACCGTGAGATTCTCAACGGCACAGGCCGTCAATACCTCGAAATTAGGGCAAGAGAAAGATTGATGGCCAAAAACGAACGCCTAACCCGTTCCGGCAGTGTGAAACGTAGCATTGATAGCAGCGGTGACACCACACCAAACAAGAGCCTCAAGTCCAGTCGTTCTTCTACTCCAGCTAGCACGACGAGTTCCACACGCAGGCGAAAAGGACCTCAAAGTTATAAGGAAGTAAGCGACCGTGAATTCAACTCGAAGCTACGGAAGCTCGAGCAGGGGATAGAAGATGATCTAGACATCGAAGGTCCAAGCGAGACCGAACAGGAGGAGATTGAAAGAGCAAAGACTTTCAAGCTCGCTAGTAAGTCCACTCTGCCATACGTGCACATTGTGCGTTTGACGCTAACGTTTCCAACAGAGCAAGAAGTAGCCCAAAAGAAAATGCAGAACCCGGTCATGCAGGCGCGACTGGCTTGTAATTCTCCGCATAACTTCTACTGGCCGTGGAACGATGAGCCGGTCGACAAATCACTAATAAATGCATCAGGGAAGATGCTGCTGCTGGACCGGCTTGTCACACGGCTTCTAGCCAATGGACATAAGATTCTCATCTTTTCCCAATTCAAATCACAGCTGGACATTCTCCAGGATTGGGCCACTCAACTCCACTCCTGGAACTGCTGTCGTATCGACGGCGCAATCAGCCAAACAGACCGGCGAGCGCAAATCAAAGCCTTCAACACCGACTCCGACTACAAGATCTTCCTCCTGAGTACCCGAGCGGGCGGACAGGGCATCAATCTCATGGCGGCCGACACTGTCATCCTATTCGACTCCGACTGGAACCCCCAACAGGACCTCCAGGCCCAGGACCGCGCCCACCGCATCGGCCAGACACGACCGGTGATCGTGTACCGCCTAGCAACAAAGGGCACCGTTGAGCAGACGCTGCTCGAGAAAGCCGATTCGAAACGTCGTCTAGAGCGACTCGTCATCCAGAAGGGCAAGTTCAAGAGTCTTCTAGATCCCACCTCGCAGGATGACGTTGAGGATCTGAGAAAGGCTCTCGGGGAAGACGAGTTCGAGCGTTTCGAGGCCGGTACGGATCCCAGTCGTCTGCTGTCTGATAAGGATCTCGATATCCTGACGGATCGCAGCGAGGAGGCCTATGCTCGTGCTGAAAGGGGTCTGGATCACAGTGGACGGGCTTTCCTGGCCGTCGAGACGAAGAAAGATGGCCTTATGGCGCAGATTACTGGGAAGGGTTAGTTTGTAATTCTAGTTGTAATAATAGCCATTTCTCTTTCACTTCGACGGCTGTGATGGAGACTGGGCATATAATGGATTGGTACGAGGACCGTTTGTTTTGAATTGCGTAGATTGCACCCATCTATAGATATTCATTCTTGGTAAACATCAACCTTGATCACTCGGCCAGCGACCCCAAAATTATTATACTATACAAAACATCTTCTAACCATCAAACCTCAAACCAACACCACCTCACAGATAAATATAACAGAAGGGCCCACCAGTCGTATCCAACAACTCCCGAATAGTCTTGGGGGGAGCCAAAGCAGCACTCATATCCACGATATCATCCAACGTAGCATTCGGCGACGAGTCAACAATTCCAGGAAGCACAGTCGGTCCATTCACCACATAAGTGCGCTTCGCAGGGTCCTGGTTCTGCCAGGTCCAGAACGCCCGGTCAATCGCCGCATGGTGAAGGAAGAAAGCCGGGTCACCGGGGGAGGCAAAGAAGTCCTACAGCACACAACATCAGCAACTGAACTCATATCGTATAAACTTGAAAAAAAAAAGAAGAAGAAGAAGAAGAAGAAGAAGAAGAAGAAGAAGAAGAAGAAGTAATCCAACGTACACCACCAGGATCACCACCAATGGTATAGTGGCCCCCGCTATGCAGACCGAGGAAGCCGCGCGGAAAGTCGCCCTGCATGGTCGTCTCGTAGTCCCAGATATCTGTTTCGTTGACGATCAGGTCCACGACCTGCTTGGTTGTGGTCCATTGCGCGGCCTGCTTGGAGATGTCTCGGCGGAGACAACGGGGGTTGTAGTTCAGGCCGGTGCCGTTCTGCGCCACGAGGCCTGGGATCTTGAGACTGGGCATGAGGGGGCCGAGGTTGACGGTGAAGCTTAGAAGTAGTTGTGTTAGCTGGAGGTGATGCGTCTTTCTTGGGGATTGGGGGCGGCAGCAGCTTAGTACATACTTCTTGAATGGGCCGGATTGAATACAGCCGCCTCCGTTTGAGGGCTTCAGGAAGATTCCCGGCGCGGCTTCGGTGGCATTGTGCGGGACGAACGAGCCGTCGCCTGACATGCTGTACTCCGAGCCGTCGAAAATAGGCGAGTTGACCGGGTCGTCGGCGTACTTGTTCCAGGCCCAGTATGGCTGGGAGCCGGTGTAGCCGCACTCGTTTCGCAGGGCTTGCTCGTAGGCCCAGGTGAAATAGCGGTGCCAGGTTAAGAAGTTGCCCTACTGGGGTCAGGGGGGCCGGGTCTTCTTTCAAGGTCTGCAGGGTCCTACCGTTGAATGGATGAACATCGTCTGGTTGATGTGCACCGCGACGAAATCATCGTAGCGGGAGCGAGCCCCAGGAGCGAAGGAGGGGTCGGACTTTGAAGGCTTGGAGGATAGACAGAGGACGGCGTCGATGTACTCGCGGCGTTCCTTCTTGGATAGAGCTCCCCTGCAGCTCAGTTAGACATCGCATTTGCGTGTTAAGGAGTCGCAAGGGGCATACCATTCTCTGCGAGCCGACGCAGTGTAAGGAGTACAGGTGCTGCTGGCTTCTGGATTTGTGTAGTGATACAGGATCTGGTTCCCCAGGGCTTTGACAGCGAGGACATCCCACTGGTCCATGAAAGTGGGAGATGCTGTTGCTGGTGATAGGACAGCAAGAGCTGCGACGATTGGAATCCAACTGCGCATGGTTATGTTCACCTCCTCTGGGGACGGGCACTGCGATGGGGAGGAAGTAAGTGAGGAAGAAATTTGAGACTGGAGGGAACCGGTCAAGAGCTTTTTTATTACATCCTGACTAGCTCTGGGTGAACTCTGGACGGAGTAGATAGTTTGACTCTAGATTGCCGGCTAGGACAGCCGGATATGCGGCCGCCAATTGAGGACCCCAGAAAGTCATACGACTAGGGCTAGGACGGTATAGCACTTAGACGTGCACTATTTATCGCTTGGAGGCCTGGCGTGGAGAGTAAAAGCACCGAGACAGACATCGCTTTAGTGGGACGCGAGAGTCGGAATGCGGAAATTAGTAGAGATATAACAAATTAATGAGATAAAAAAAAGCCCGGGCCCAGATTGCTCATGGAGACACTCCACCATGACTTATACCGAGAAGCATGTCATGTCTTTGGCCCTGTCGGGCAACGGTAGAGAAGAACTACGGCAGTTAGAGTAGACTCCACAGCATATGTGACATCTTATTGTCTCTACATGGTAGATCACCAAAAAGAAGGAAAGAGGGACATGCAAAGGAGTTTTCGGGGCAGATTCAGAAGTATTGAGGTTACAGTAGAGACCCAGTTGACACTTGGCTAGTGCGAACAGGGATCGCTTGAGCTTCATTTCGAATGTATTTAGCCGTCCATTTGCGAGGCTGATGTGGGCTGGATGTCTCAAAGGATCCTCCGATGCCAAGGCACTTGCTTCGTTTCAAAGATTGGCTAGTACGTTAGTTCGTTCAATCGACTTAGTCAAGACTCGTATAACCAGACCACTCTCCGTATAGTACAAATGGGTGTAAAATGGTCAAAGCGAACCTCCTTTGCCGCTGGGCATTTCGTACTTGAGGCGTTTCGCTGTCGTTGGAAAGGATATCTTGAGCTTGGGAACCATGTTCATCAAAATCAAATCCACACGCCCTCGTGCGGTACACTGGAAATCAATTTATATTGGGGCTTCCCGGGCTTCGTATAGCCTGCATTAGCGGGGGGCTAAATGTAGATTACGCCACTACAACTTGGTTTAAGACCCCAACGGTTCAACGGACTAATTACTCCGTTCCTATCTTTCGTCCTTTATATTAAGATATATTAACACTCACCATATTACCCGCTCGATGCTACCCTATCGGCTCACCTTCGGGGCATTTCCCTGCAGGCGCTACGAGAAGTAGTCTGTGGACCGATTACCCACTACTGAGTACCTATGGCTCAGGTATGACACCGTGCGCCATGCGCCTTCTGCCCGAATCTTTACCCACAGCAGGCAGAACACTGACCATCTAGTAAATTAAACAGAAAAAGAAGAGACACAAATGGATTTGGAGATTGACTTGGAAGGTCTTCATCTCTGTTAATATCATGTGGGAATAGAATAGCCAGACTCTCAGAACCTACCGCGGGAAAGTTAGGGCTTGATTTATAAATGCTCCCTAGGGGCGGCACACAGAATGACATTAGTCAATTCGCTTCTACTCGTGGACTATGTAGAATCCCTGCTCTTTATCCTTGCTAGTTTCAGTTTCATATTTAATGGGTAGCGGCGCAGACACCTTGCATTTACTAGACATAGGCTGGATTCCTTTAGTGGCTGGACATACTCCGTACGGAGGATCCGTTTGCGGCAATGCACGAACAGGCATAATCGCTTTCATTAAATTCCTACAAGCCGATGAAGCGCCGATCCTTAGGAAGAATTCAACTGGATTCATTCATCCGACCAAAATAAACGTACGCCCCTTGTATCTCCGAAATTCCGAATGTGTCCTGTATGTTGTTGGACGCTAGTGCTTCCTTAGAGAGATAGCCCTATACAGGCTTAACTTAGAATACAGAGACTCAATTTTCTACGAGTAACTCAGTCTACAGCGGTCATGGAGATTCCTCTTTGCCTCCATCGAGATCATGATTGATATCATGCATTCTAGCGGGGGTCTACTGCCGAGACAAACAGCAGCAGTCGCATCGGCAGATACCCCCAGCGACAGTCGAGCTCCACACATCCTGGCCATTATCGGATCCCTGACAGGTCTATCGGGCTTACTGGTCACATTACGCTGCTACGTGCGACTCTTTGTCCTGCGGAAGTTCCTCCCAGACGATGGAGTAATCGTTGCATCCTTGGTAAGTGATACACCCACCATACACTGTCAACGACTTCTATACAGCAACTTTCCTAATCGAATAGACACACAGTTATGCGCCTTCGGCGTCCTAGCATGCTTCGTTGGCGAGTCGCACCATGGAGTCGGTCTTTTCTCTGACGACATCAAGCCGGAAGATTTCCAGGTCCTCAGCGAGTACATGTTCTACCACGCCATCGTCATAGTGCTCGGTATAAGCCTGGTCAAGGTTTCGCTGGCTCTCTTCTTGCTCCGGTTTGCATCACCTAATAAGAACCTGAAACGGTTCATTGTCGGCGCGCTTGGTGCGTTTGGGTCTCTGGACACACCCGATATGTAACTGACAAGGAGCAGTGTTTCTTATTGTCTTTACCATTGCGTGCATCTTGACGCTGATCCTCCAGTGTCTTCCGGTCCGAGCGGCGTGGGATTTCTCATTAAAGCAGAATGCCAGGTGCTATTCGATGAAGACTTATCTGGCAATTGGAGAATTCAACAGTGGTACGTCCCATCATCACACACATATACACCGTGAACGGGGAGGACCTAGCTCATAACACTTGACTTCAGCAATCAACATCGCGACGGACTTTGTATTCGCAACCCTACCCGCGTTCATGTTCTACAAGGTGCAAGTCAATAAGCGCACCCGGGTCTCGTTGATGGGCATCCTCAGCCTTGGCTATTTGTATGTGATCTCCGCTTCCTGAACCATGGCTATACCTTCTCGCTAACCCAAGCGACCTGACAGCGCCTGCGCCGCCGGAATTGTGAAGACCGTTCTTCAGAGCCAACTCTTCGACGAGCCAGATCCGTATCGGTACGCTTCGACCATATATATCCCTGAGCGCGGTAGTGGTTGACAGAAAGCTAATGTTCTCAATCCTGCATTTTCGGAATCTAGCGAATGCCAATACCTCATTTGGAATTGGTATGTCTTTGCCCCTATCCAACCCGCAGCTCTCACACGATAGCACATAACCAACGTCATCCATGATCCGTCAAAGGCTAACTGCTCGTAGTATCGAACTAAACGTCGGTATCATCGCTGCGTCATTCCCGACTATCAAGCCCCTCGTGAAATCCGTCATTGGGACCACGCTGAGTTTCACGAGCGGTGTGCGCAGCGGGAAACGCAACGGACAAGGATACCATGTGAGGTCTAGTTATATTATGCATTCGCTGCAGCAGAACCGGACCGTGAACGAAGACCAGAAGTATAGTGTTCAGATTGGAACCCTTGATGGATCTGATAGGGGGAGTGAAGAAAACTTGACTCAGCGACCCCGACGGGGGTCGCTGTCGAGGATAATACAGACTACGGAGGTGATTGTACACAGTGAGGAAAGTGCTGATCTAGGGGTTATGAGGATCGGGCCGGCGAGGACTGTCGATGACCGTGTATGAATTTTGTTTGTTCGTCTATTATACTGACTCTCGTTGGTGGAAAATTTGTGCTGTTTATTAGCATCAGGACGGGTCATATACTATACAGTTAATAGGCTTGCCTGGTATGTAATGCGACAGGGACTGGTGAACCTCGAATTAATCAAATCATCAAAAAGCAAAGAACACATCCATTAAGCGCCTGAGCTCCTCGCCAGAGAAATGGCTGTACATCAAAGAAAAGGATCACGAAAGACCTCTCACAGGGAAATCAAGCAATACCAGGGAGTTGAAGGTACTCAAAAGTGTATTTCAGAAAGGGGAACATAGCAGAAAAGGAAAAGATCACTAACGTGACACCTTCTCTTCTTCGATCTGTCTTCGTATATCGGCGAGTACCTCGTTCCGGTTGGCAAGGTGGCTTTTAAGTCCATCCACCTGCTCGCCGACGGCTTTCACATCCTCCCTGAGCCGCTCGATGTCTTGGCCTTCCTTGGACCTTCCAGTGCCTTCCCTAAGTTCGCGAAGCTCACGCTCCTTGTACTCCAGGAGTTGAAGTGCCTCCTTTTTGATCAGGCCCCAGCTGGTCCTGCCATCGGTCCTGGGTTGATCCCTGCGCCCTTCGGAGGCTTCTTGTGCGGAACTCAGCTTGGTCTCCAGCTCCGCAAGCTCGCGCCTTAGCCGAACCTTCTCCCATTCCTCATCCTGAATAGTGTCGTTGAAGTTTGTGCCCTTGGGGGTATAGGACGATTTTCCTCCGGCACCCAACCGACTCAAGTAGGTATCGCCAAATTTAGTCTTGCGACCAGTTGGTGTCTCTGTGTCTCCGTCCGCGCCCCATTTCTGTGCCGGGCGGGCATTATCGACCTGATAATCAATCTTGTTGTTTTCAAACGAGGCGCGGAGGGAAGCAGGAACGGTGCGGGGAATGCGGAAGCCCTCGTGTCGGTAGTTCAGTATATGCAGGAATGCTAGGGTGGCATCCTTATTAATTGTGTGGGATGCGGAGGGGTTGACCAAATTCCACGCAGAACGGACATCGGTGTCAGGGACATCGAGCGAATCGTAGAGTGGTTGTAATGATTGAACTGTACGAGAACATCTACGTATTAGTTCGGAACGCGAGCGGTTAAGGGATGCGGCCCCGCTTCGACGGGGAGCGCTGACGTACATGCGATTTCACCACGTTGGTTTCTGTTGGCATGGTATATCTCTTCGTATTTGGATTTGTCGGCGGGCTTCATGTACCATTCGAATCCATCTTTCAGTCCAGGAGTATCATCTTCATCCTCTATCCGTTCGAACTGTTCGGGTTGAGTGCTCAACGCCCGGGTTGCATGGACTAAATGAGACTTGGATTCAGGGACGAGCCAGTCGGGTAAAACGGCTGGGACAGTTTGTAATTCCTAATCGACACTGAACCTTAGCAGCAGCACTCAAAAGCTTTATGATTTGTGACAAAAACGCCGAAGAATCACAAGAAGTCATCGGGCAATAGGGGAGGTAACATACACCGTTGACCAGGTCGAATACTAATCGCATAGCGACACAAAACTCTTCGAAATCCAACTCCCCATCACCATCGACATCGGCCAAATCCCAGACCTTTTCCAGTTGCTCATCCCGAAGCCGACTGTTCCTGAGCACTGAGGCGGCCTGGGAGTTGTTCAGACGGGGCTGACCATTTGCTAATGAAGCGAAGATCTCCCAGTATCTTTCGATTTCCCATTGCTCAATTTTCTTATTTGACATGATGTGAGCGACTCGGTAGACCAGTAGGGACAATGCTGTTATTAAGAACCGAGCAATGAGAAGCGACTATAAAGGATGTTTGGCTGGAGATGCTCACGGGTCACTGAGTGGTTAACCGTTTCGGGCATCCCGCGGCGGGCCTCCCATGGGGCACTCGGATCATGTTAAATCCGGCAGGTGATATGCAGGGGAACAGGAACCGTTCAATTGCTCCATACTCCAGACCTACACCTGTAATAGCATGGGATCCACTATGTTCATAGAAAGTCATACTTACTCTGTATACCAACAATGAAGTCTTAATATGTATCATACAATTAACATAAAACCACCCCCAAGTCTATGTACCATATCCATAACCATCATCACCGACAATAGCAGCCATACTTGACTGTCCAAATTAAACACACGGACAGATGCATCATTAGTTACTCTATCTCTGAGTCGTTCACGACTCTTTTTCTTTTGGGTTGTTTTTCTTTTCGTCCTCGCCCGAGGACGAGTTATCCGCTCTCAACTTCTCCTCGACCTGGACAATAGCTCGTTCGGCTTCCAAAGCAAGCTCCGGTGCTTCAAGGATTGAAGCCAATTTCTTAGCATCGTCCATCCGAAGCAGCAATTTGTCGTCACTTTTCTCCACGTCCTCTACCATACTTGAGATTGACTGTTCAATGTTAGATATTTCTAGCGCCCGTGAAACTCGCTTCGCATATAGCCGCTCCAATGCTGGGTGCGATATCGGATTCAGAAGGTCCTTCTCGACCAAGAATTCCAAGTGTTTAGATCCATTCAATGCTGGAATCAGTCAGCAACGCCGTTGCACGTAGGAAGGTGAAAGGAGCGCACCTCGCAAATGGGACCATCCTCGATACACAAGATAGAAGAAAGGAATGTTAGGTATCCTGTCGTTTCATCATTAGCTCGTCGTTTAGTTATACCAAGAAACTCCCTTTATCAAAATTTTCTAGGGAAGAGCTTAGCTTTCATACAATGGAATGAGCCCAATGGGAGCTGTAAATGGACTTGCGATGAAGCTCCACCACATTCTCTTTCGATGTAGGTCCTGCCTATCAGTAGCAATCTTGTGCAAGATAGACTTGAGCTTTTCAGTTTTGACCGCATTTCCTGGGAAAAGCACGTCTATCTTCTGTGACCCATACGATTCATCAAGCCGTCGCTGAGCATTGAGCGAAGGAATACTCTTGAGCCCCCATTCTTCATAAGGAATCCGCTGTTGGACCTTATTTCCCCACACAACCAAATGTTTTTTCCAACCCTTCTCGGCTTCCTCCCATTCAGCCCATGTTTTGGCAGCTTTATTTGTGATTCGATCGAGTATGGAAAGCTCCTTTGCATGGTCCCGACGGAGCGGTCGAGCATATATCAGGGCCCGTCTTGTCGAGATCGGAATGACGAAGAGTCGCATGGCAGCGTTTTGTCTTTGGATTTTCTCCTTTGTCCCTTTTTGGTGGTTTCGGGGAATTCAATTGAGGAACACAGGGGAATTGTTGAAAACGGCGAGGGAGTACACGGCTAGTGATCAACAAGAGAAAACAACCGATTCAAGGGAGCTTGTAAAAATAGCATTCCTTCTTCTAGAGTGAAATTAAGATTAGTTTTTATATAATTTTTTCCCCCTTCTTCTTTAGGGTTTTTGCTCTCTTTTGCCCCTTGATGGGTATGACGGAGGCGAATAACACAAGCTGACCTGGTGGAAGGTGGACGACGGTTGTTTGGTCGCGGGCGGTATTGAGAGACGTCATTCCGCACCCAGCGAAAAGATTAGTGCCGTAATTATCAACGGAACATTTCCCAAGAGGGATAAATTACTAGTACTTCTCTGGGTTTAGCAGCATTAAGCAACTATTACCACCCAGAATTGTTTCTCTCCCCGTTCTTCCCCAGCCCCCCAAAGGCTGTAATTGCTGTGACCTTGCACTTTTTTGGGTTCCTATTCTAATCTAATGACCCGTTCCTCAAAAGGGTCATAAGCTTGCTCAGTTTCCAGAGAAACGCCGTGTTCTCGGGGCTGAGGGGGCTGTGAGGCGGCGATGCAGGCGAGATCCATTGTCTTCCCATAACTTTCCGACAGCCGAAGCAACCACATCTGAAACGACCCATTGGAGTAGAAGGCGATGGCACAGGATGCGCGCATTTTGCGCACACTTCCTTCAGGTCCACACTCGGTCTTAGATTCTCAACTAAGCGAGAAATCAACCAAGACAGAATGGATGTCTGGAGCCATCAACCAGAACGAGCAGACGAATCATGACCAGTTTCCCGAACTTCCTCACAATGGCACGCTGGAATTGTCGCCCAATGTCTTACAGGCTCTAGAGGAAGCGTCAACGGAGGATGGTCAGGATCATGTCGTATTAGAAAAGAGAATGCGGACTCTTCCGGGTGCGTAGTATACTCGACAAACCCCAGCCATCTTTGGCGAAAGCTTTACTGATAACAGTTTATGCAATAGCTTGGATCGGATCTGTCGATTACAAGGAACCTGAGGGCGAATCTTCTGCCGCCTCACGACTACTACCTTCGCATCCCGATGATGCCGTTGTCGCCCAGCATAACCACTCACCCCATACGACTGCCAAAATAGATTTCGCCGGTCGAGGAACAAGCTTGGAAGAAGGGCGCGCGACATCGCCTCGTGAATCGCGTTGGAAGAATTTCTCCAAATCGATTGCCTACCCAAGGGACCCAGGTGCTGAGGAAAAACTTGTGACCCCCGAATGGATGAACGAAAACCACGGTGACTACTCGCAACCATGGCGCGGAAGACTTGAAGACTGGAGTGGGGAGGATACAGAAGATCCGCTGAGAAAGAAACGGCGGAGAGAGATTTGGTTTAAACGCCTCCATCATACCCTATTGAAGAGTCCTATAGTACCCTTGGTTTTTCGCCTAACGGTGTGGGTCTTTTCACTTACTGCGCTTGCGCTTGGAGCCTCCATTCAGCGTATGTCGCGTGCGTATGTGCATCCGCAGGGCCCCTCTGCACTAATGGCGATTATTGTTGACGCCGTAGCCCTGGTTTACCTGGTGTATATCACCTGGGATGAATATACTTCCAAACCGCTGGGCCTTCGTTCCCCCTCGGCCAAAGCACGGCTTGTCCTTCTCGACATTTTCTTCATTGTCTTTGACTCTGCCAACCTAAGTTTGGCCTTTGAGTCACTGTCCACAGTTAGTGGCGCATGCACCATCGGTGAGGTTAACCAGCAGGTCGCTCCTAAGAACAATGCAATCTGCGACCGCCAAATTGCGCTAGCCAGTGTGCTATTAATTGCTCTTTTGGCTTGGCTTACAACATTCGTCATTAGTGTTTTAAGGTATATCCATCTATGCATTTACATCTCTCATTCTTTCTCCACAATGCACAGGACTAATTGCTTCGAACAGACTCGTAGATCGCGCTGCACAATGATAATCCTTTTGGCTTTTTATCATCTTATCTTGCGCTATCTACATATAGCCTTAAAAATAGTTTCTTGCTTCGCTCATTCATTCTAGGAGGCTCAGCTCAGGTCCCTCCTTTTTCTCTCTCTCTTTTTTCTTTTTACTTTTTTTTTTTTTCCCTCACTTTCTCTTCTCGACGGTGGGTCTGCCGTCTCCATTTCTTCAACCAGCACTACGGAGTACTCCACTTTACTGATCTCACCTTATCCCTTTGTTTCTCACATTTTTTTTTATCTTTCTTGCCTTGTATTTGGTACCCAGGTTTGGAAAACGTTTTGGATCCTGGATAGCAACGGCCATGCACATGTGATGATTATGTATGTATATATTAGTAGAATGATGGAATATAAGCTCAAACAAGACACGGAGAAGACGATATCGCCCAAAGTACAATATTAGACCTGGAGAACGGGGCCATCGGCTCCGTACAAGGGATCACTATGGAACCAGTCGAGCTTTTCGATAGCCTTGAGCTTTGTCTCCACCCCTGGTTGTCCATAGCACATGTCCCAATGTTTATTTCGAGGATAGGCACCCACCATGCTGAAACTCTCCGCGCCGAGATCCTCTAAGAGGCGGTGGCCTACCCCAGCGGGAACGATGATAAGATCGCCTTTCTCAACCGTCGGCTCAAATCGACTGGGGTTTGCTTCACCGCCAAAGCAGAGACGAGCGCGTCCGGAGACCACTCCCAAAACTTCATGCGTTGTACTGTGGAAATGCGTCTGCTGATACATAGTATAAACCCACTGTGGTTCGACCTCGCCGATTTCTTCCAAACGCGCCTGAAGCTGCCTTGGAGACGCCTCAAAAGCGTGATGATATATCATAAGCGGCTTAGACTGTATGGATGTGTTGGGAATATCTTTCCATTCCGGGATTTGACGAGTGGTAACCTCGATATCGGATGGGGAACTGAACGACATGGTTTCCTTTCCAATCAAATGGATAGGTTTCGCTTCAGCATGTACGAGACTCGGAAGTAGACAGTTTACCGTTCTAGGGCCAGGGAGAGGCTCGAGTTGTTCGATTCGGTCAAGTAAGGGTCGAAGGGATTTCCAAAAATGGAAAGCCACCATGACGTCATCTGCGATAATGCTTGCGGTTTTGTTCCCAAGTTTCAGTAGACCGAATGTGTTTATACTACATCCTCCTGGAATTCCCTTCTCTTCTTTTACCCTCAACAGGGCGTTGCTACGATATACCAATATGTGTCTGTCACAGTCACACATCCAAGGGGGAGTTATTGCTGTGTATTAAGGGGAAGAGAAAGAAAAACCAAGGGAAAGAAGCATTCATAAGCACGGTAGTTAACTGCGTCATGCGTATTTATAAAAAAAAAAAAAAAAAAAAAAAAAAAAGTACAATACATTACCAAAAAAAATATTCAAAAAGAAAAAGAAAAAAAAAAAAAAAAGAGTCCGGATACTAGACTGCTCGCGTAACAAAGAAGCGCTCCAAAGGGAACGAAGCAAATGCAAAACAAAATAATACCGACTCGGATGAGCTTGGGAACATTCCCAACTCCATTAGGTAGCAGTACTGGAAGAATTGAAGGTGTTGGTTGCCTAACTATTCTTCTTAAACCCCATAAAATCTAGATTTAATCAAGATCCTGCGCAGGCCAGCTGCGTTGACCGCCTACCGCAAAGGTCCATAAAGCGTTTCCCCCCCACGGATGTCTAATCTCGACTCTCACTACCGCCCAACGCCACGCCTACTCTTGTGTCTCTCGGTATTTTTGGTACTTTGAGGCGTGTTTGTGGTTGCTCGTACTTCGCTCTAGCTCAGAATTCTGTACTGAGGTCCTCTTTTTGTGACTCCTCAGTTGGTCCCTTCCGTTACCCGTGCTATCTCATAGCGTGCGGCTATCCTCCTGCCTTGACGATCGCGTTTGGACTGAACGTCGCCAGTGTTGTAATCGCCCGCTTCTGGAGGCGAGCTCATTGCCGAAATCAAAAAGTGGGAAGGCCCCGAACCCTTGCCGTGTTACGACAAGTCCTCAACACCTTCGAACCCCCATCTCGTCTATCCATCCTCAGCTCGTCACGCGTGTGTCATCTGTCTGAGTGTTCGCCCTAGTTTCTGCGAGAACTGACGCCCTTGTTTCGCAGCCGTACTCCCTGCTCGCCGAAGTCATCTGCGAAAAGCACCATGCCACCCTCCCTTATTCCCCAGACACCTCACAAGGATGACTTGGATGAAACGTGAGTCGCTCATACTCGAATGAAGCATCGGATAACTTCGGGGGCGCCATGTAACGGATGGTAGGCTAACTGAAGCAGATGGTCGTTCCTGGAGAAGGGCGTCGACAGTGTGATGTTGAAGCTGGAGGAGGGAGTGGATATGAAGACTGTAAGTCCATTTCGAATCGCTTAACTTGGTCGCTCCTGGTGAATGGGAAAGGCTTGCAGCTGCGTACTGACAATTCACTTGGATTTTTAGTACATGGCTCTATATACGTATGCCACCTTTTGTTTTAATTATCTTGGACTCGACTGACATTCTGAGCGAAGCGCGGTTCACAATTTTTGCACATCACAAAAGGCTGTCGGCAATGGCCATGGATTACAAGCACATCGCGGTGGTTCGTCTTCATCAACGCACAAACCCTCAAGGATATACCGGGCCCCTGCATCTAACAATGTTTCAGCACATCTGCTAGGAGAGGAGCTATACAAGCTACTTGGAGAGTACCTTTCACGTCACCTCGATGCTGTGCATCTCGAGTCCAAGGGCCACGCCGAAGAGGCCCTACTAGGGTTCTACATCCGCGAATGGACCCGTTACACGACAGCCGCCAAGTACATCAACCATCTTTTCGGCTATCTCAACCGACATTGGGTCAAGCGGGAGATCGATGAGGGTAAGAAAAATGTTTACGACGTATATACTCTGCACCTCGTCAAGTGGAAAGATGACTTCTTCATGAAGGTCCATGAGAAGGTTATGGATGCAGTTTTGAATCTCGTCGAGAAGCAGCGTAATGGTGAAACGATCGAGCAGTCGCAAATCAAGAGTATCGTCGATTCTTTTGTTTCCCTCGGACTGGACGAAAGCGACAGCTCCAAGTCGACGCTTGAAGTATATCGGATGTTCTTTGAGAAGCCCTTCATTGCGGCTACCAAGGTCTATTACGAAAACGAGTCGCGCCAATTCGTGGCAGAAAACAGCGTGGTGGAGTACATGAAGAAGGCGGAGGCTCGTTTAGAAGAAGAAAAGGCTCGTGTGGGCTTGTATTTGCACCCGGATATCTCGAAACAT